GTCAGCTCCCCGCACTGTCCAGTTACTGATGGGTGCCTGACACCTGCAATGCATAGTGGTCAGCAGCACGCAGTGTCCAGTAGCTTCCTCTAACACCTCACTCAAGCAGTTTTGTGGCAGAGTGGTTCCAGCAAGACACCCCTCCATAAATGGCTTTCTCTGACATCCAAGAGGGTAGATTTCCAGCAAGTTCTGGAGGACAGATTTCCAACATGTTCTGCCAGTGTGACACTACAATGACTTTCTCGGCCGTCCAGTTAGTCATGGCCACCCTATCCTCCAACAAGATATGGATTTCAGTCCCAGAAGGGTATCTTCCTTAAGCACCCTGTATCAGCCCTACAGGTAGTAGCTATTCACTCTAGTTCTTACTAGCCAACCCATCACTACTCCAATCTCCTGTTACCTGTTCAAATTACTGTTTGGTTTCTGAATGGACCCTGAAAGTTGTTTCAATGAGTTGAAAAGGCTAAGTAGCATAGACCTAAAATGATAAATTTTATTACCTACATAAAATCCACATGCTTCTGCTTTATTCACAATCTACCAATGAAAAGTAATACAACATTGTAAACAGTCAAGTTAACATGTTTAAGGGCCTAAGGAGCCCTACCTGGTACACTCTGCTTCATGAAGTTACTCAAGCTTAATATTCGGCTCCCTGAAGCTAAAGGCAGCATTTTCTTTGGAGACACTCATGAAATAGCTAACACAACCACATATTTTATAATACACCTTCCAAAATACGGAAGAAACTTATCACTCATTTTACTTTCTATGCTAAAAAAATAATTTTATTTTTCATGCAGAATATCGAAAACCAAAACAGCCTAGGCATGCCCTGTGCTGGCCTGAAAAATCTAGTGTTCTACTTGGCCCTGACCCACACAATATCCTCCAGTTGAGCAGTCTTTATAAGTTTCAGAACACTTTTCACCAAATCAAGTTTGTGTCTAAGTCGTAATTATAAAGTCTCCAAATCAGTCGTGAACCATTAAAATAATATCTGCAAAAAAACCTTTTTAAAGTATATAATCAAATATATGCTGAGTACCCAAAATGAATGAGACCCTGTAGAATACTGTAGTAATAAGACAAACACAGTTCCTGCCCTCAGAAAACTGAAAGTGAGGATGGAGAGCAGGTAGAGAGGAGAGGCAAATAAGCAATTTTAAAAGAGTATGGGGCTTCCCTGGTGGCGCAGTGGTTGAGAGTCCGCCTGCCGATGCAGGGGACACAGGTTCGTGCCCCGGTCCGGGAAGATCCCACATGCCGCGGAGTGGTTAGGCCCATGAGCCATGGCCGCTGAGCCTGCGCGCCCAGAGCCTGTGCTCCGCAACAGGAGAGGCCACAACAGTGAGAGGCCCGCGTACCGCCAAAAAAAAAAAAAAAAGAGTATGATAGGGACTTCCCTGGTGGTCCAGTGGTTAAGAATCCGCCTTCCAATGCAGGGGATGCGGGTTTGATCCCTAGTTGGGAAACCAAGATCCCCCATGCCGCAGGGCAACTAAGCCCGTGCACTGCAACTACTGAGCCCGCATGCCATAACTAGAGAGCCCACACACAACGAAAGATCCCGCATGCCACAACTAAGACCCGACACAGCCAAATACATAAATTTTTAAAAATAAAATTAGAAAAATAAAACAAGCTATAGGTTAACCATTTGACAAGCTTCCCCTTTATCTGATCAACACCATAAGGTAAAGAGATTAGGTATTGTCAATCCAATATTACAAGCAAAGTAGCAGAGAAATCAGATGACTTGTCTAAGTAAGGCTCCACAACTAATACTTGAAATACCAGCATTCACCTTCCTCACCTGGTTCCAAGAAGAGCTCCAAGATGGATCTTTTCAATCTAGTCTGGGGAGGCAGGCACCACTCCTGAACAGGATTGAGTGAGATTAGTACTCTAGGCAATAAGTACACAGGGAGGTTCATTTGCCCAGAAAGTTTACTGCATTGGGTTTCCCTGGTGGTGCAGTGGTTAAGAATCCGCCTGTCAATGTAGCGGACACGGGTTCGATCCCTGGTCCAGGAAGATCCCACGTGCCGTGCCACAGAGCAACTAAGCCCGTGTGCCACAACTACTGAGCCTGCACTCTAGAGCCTGCGAGCCACAACTACTGAGCCCGCGCACCACAACTACTGAAGCCCACGCACCTAGAGCCTGTGCTCCGCAACAAGAGAAGCCACTGCCATGAGAAGCCCACGCACTGCAACGAAGAGTAGCCCCTGCTCGCCGCAACTAGAGAAAGCTCCCGTGCAGCAACGAAGACCCAACACAGCCAAAAATAATAAATTTATTTTAAAATTTTTTAAAAAAAGTTTACTGCCTTAACAAAATGATGTGGGGACCCCAAACCTTTCAGACACTAGAGACAACACTCCTGTGCCTTTTTCACACTACAAGGAAGCAAGGCCACAGAATGTGAGGAAGAGAAACTAAATAGTGGGGACACCAAAAGTTTCAGAACCAGGCTTGCCCTTAAGAATATCACATATTTTCTCTACAACTTTAGACATCACCTAGAAACTGAACACAACATTGCCAAAGTCCCCACACTCTAAAATAATGTCTAAGACTCTGAAACCATCCCACCTGAAGAAAGCATGGTATCTGGAAACCTTCACATTATAGCTCCAATGTTTGGGTGATAATATAATCTTGGAGGGTTTCAAATCTCCCAGGAAATACGCTGAGTGCTGACAACCAGCATCAATGTCCATGGTCAGGAGAAAACTTTGAGAAGAGCGGCTGAAATTGTACCCTTAGGCAATATGTAAGAGAAAAAACCACAACATCTAAATCCAGTAGCAGTTGCTATTTGCATTATAAAACTAATTTATAAGCCAACTCAAAAGAAATGAGGTCTCCCACCTTCCCCCACTCTCTATCCTGGCAGAGGAGAAACCATATTGGCATCACCAGTTCAGCTACCAAGACAATGCTATAGTTCAGATGCAAGGCCTCTGTGGGGCTCCATTAACAACATCTGTTAAGACAAAAATTTGAATTTTTTTTGGCGGGGGGGGCCGTGTTGGGTCTTCATTGCTCCACGCAGGCTTTCTCTAGTTGTGGTGAGTGGGGGCTACTCTTCGTTGCAGTGCGCAGGCTTCTCATTGCGGTGGCTTCTCTTGTCGCAGAGCACGGGCTCTAGGAATGAGGGCTTCAGTAGCTGCAGAACGCGGGCTCAGCAGTTGCGGTGCGTGGGCTCAGTAGTTGCCGCGTGCGGGCTCTAGAGCGCAGGCTCCGTAGTTGTGGCGCACAGGCTAAGTTGCACTGCGGCATGTGAGATCTTCCCAGACCAGGGACCGAACCCATGTCCCCTGCATTGGCAGGTGGATTCTTAACCACTGAGCCACCAGAGAAGTCCAAAATTTGAATATTTTAATAGGGAAAACTGAAGTAATAATAATACATAAAAACAAAAAAACTGACTTGGGAAGAAAGTACAGCCAAGCAATGCTGTCAGTATACCAAAGCCACTCACATAGTCTTCAGCAGACCCAGCAGTCAGACTGGATACAGGGAGCAAAGGGTACAGTTATCAAAAGGCTCCAAGATGAGCCCAAAGGAGAAACAAAGTCCTCTGCATAGCTTTTAGGGCTTATCAGTCAAATGAAGAATATCGGAACCAATTATCTGAACTTTTTTCTAACAAAGGATTTTACCTTAATCTCAGGTTGTACGAGGACTAGAAAATCGACCTGCTTTGTTCAGGGGGTATGACCCTAACTACAGTCTTATACTTGAAAAGATAAAATTCTTAAAGGAAAGTTGGTTTTGATTTGCTTTCATCACCTTCAGATAAGGATTTTTACCCTCAATAAGTTTTACAAACAGCTCCAAGATCCTTCGCCCTCCCACAGGGCCAGTATTTCAATAAGGACCACATACAGCAATAAGGTTTGCTCACAGCACAGATTATAGTTTCCCAAGTAAAATGCTTGCCTACCTAAAGCCCAATTTCCCAGGTACCAGGCCAGGGTGCACAGCTGTTGAGGAGGAAAGGAAAAGTTGTCCACATTTAAAAGATGAGGAAACTAGGGACTTCCTTGGTGGCCCAGTGGTAAAGAGTCCACCTTCCAATGCGGAGGACGCACGCTCGACCCCTGGTCAGGCAACTAAGCCCGCATGCCACAACTATTGAGATTGCGCACCTCAACGAGAGGGAAAACCTGCACACCACTAGAGAGAAGCCCGTGTGCCTCAACTCGAGAGAAACCCGAGCAGATGCGCACCGTAACGAAAAGATCCCGCATGCCTCAACAAAGATCCCGTGTGCCGCAGCGAAGAACCGATGCAGCCAAAAAAAAAAATAAGGAAAATAAATAAAATAAATATTTTTTAAAAACTGATATATCATTTAAAAAAATAAAAGATGAGGACACTAAAGCACACAGAAGGTAATCAGATGAAAGCTAAAGTAGGAAAAGGAAAGCTTTATTTGGCCCACTTTATAATAGGTTATGAATCTAAACATCCATCTAAGCTCACAACAAATATGAAATGCATGTTACTCTTCTTTAAAAAGAGCAAGCGAGGGAATTCCCTGGCTGTCCAGTGGTTAGGACTCCATACTTTCACTGCCGAGGGTCCGGGTTCGATCTCTGGTTGGGGAACTAAGATCCCACAAGCCACGCAGCACGGCCAAGGGGAGGAGGACGGAACAAGCATTTCACTCTAGAAAAACAAACATCAAGATCTATTTTGTATAAAAAACAAATTATATAGTAGCTTTACTCATAATTGTCAAAACTTAGAAGTAACCAAGATGGCCTTCAACTGGTGAACGGATAAATAAATGGTGGTACACCCACACAATGGATTATTCAGCACTAACAAGAAATGAGCTATCAAAGCTCTGTAAGGACATGGAGAAATCTTAAATGTACATTACTAAGTAAAAGAAGCCAATCTAAAAAGGCTACATACTGTATGACTCCAACTACATGACATTTTAGAAAAGGAACAGTAAAAAGATTAGTGGGACTTCCCTGGTAGTCCAGTGGCTAAGTCTCTGTGCTCAAAATGCAGGGGCCCAGGTTCAATCCCTGGTCAGGGAACTAGATCCCACGTGCCACAACTAAGAGTTCACATGCCGCAACGAAGATCCCGTGTGCAGCAACTAAGACCCAGCACAGCCAAATAAATAAATAAAATATTAAAAAAAAAAAAGATTAGTGATTGCCAGAGGCTGAGGGAGAGGAAGGGATGAACAGAAGAACAGAGATTTTTTTTAGGACAGTGCAACTATTCTGTATGATACTATAATGGTAGATATATGTCGTTATACATTTGTAAAAACCCATAAAAGGTACATAAACTACAGACTTTGAGTGATAATGATGTGTCAATGTACGTTCATCAACTGTAGCAAATGTACCACTCTGGTGTGGAATGTTGATATGTATGAGTGGGGCCCAGGGGTATATGGGAACTCTCCACTCAATTATGCTATGAACCTAAAACTGCTCTAAAAAACAAAATCTATTTTTTATCTTTTTAAACAATTTTTATTTATTTATTTAAGTTTTGGCCGCATTGGGTCTTCGTTGCTGTGCACAGGCTTTCTCTAGTTGAGGTGAGCGGGGGCTACTCTTGGTTGTGGTGCGCAGGCTTCTCATTGAGGTGGCTTGTCTTGTTGCAGAGCACGGGCTCTAGGCGCACAGGCTCAGTAGTTGTGGCTCACAGGCTCTAGAGTGCAGGCTCAGTAGTTGTGGCACATGGGCTTAGTTGCTCCGCGGCATGTGGGATCTTTCCAGACCAGGAATCGAACCCATGTCCCCTGCACTGGCAGGCGGATTCTTAACCACCGTGCCACCAGGGAAGTCCCAAAACCTATTTTTTTAAAAGCCAATTTTTTTGTTTTGTTTTTGCTCTTTTGTTTTTTTGTTTTGTTTTTTTGGGCCACGCTGTGCGGCATGAGGGATCTTAGGGCCCCAACCAGTGATTGAACTCATGCCCCCTGCAGTAAAAGCACAGAGTCTTAACCACTGGACCGCAAGGGAAGTCCCCCAAGAGCCAAATTATTCAAATGTTCTAATTTTTTATCTGGGTGGTTGTTAGGTATATACAGGTGTAAAAAATCATGTAATTTTGTGTACTTTATATATATTTTATGCTTCAATAAAAGTTACTTTAAAAGAAGACAAAAATTTAACAGGGAAATCTAATCATTTGAGTGGCAAAAAAAAAATGTATACTTAAACGAACACTGAAGCAGAGCCTATTTATCATGACAAGGCATGGGCACTGTCTGAGCACTGATACTCCCTGGCTGTGTGGCCTAAACATTATTCTCACTTCATTGCGTCAAATGTAAAGTGAATGTACTACTACTTGTCTCAGAGGTCTATTAAAAAAGAAATTCCTTCTCTTATCCACTTAGTTATTCAAAAGAAAAACATGAAGACCAGGGAATAAAGATTCCAATCAAGCAAGAGGAATACTACATATTAGTTCTCTCTCCCAACAAACTATAAAAAATACAGTAAACTGGGGACTTCCCTGGTGGTGTAGTGGTTAAGACTCTGCGCTCCCAATGCAGGGGGCCCGGGTTCGATCCCTGGTCAGAGCACTAGATCCCACGTGCATGCTGCAACTAAGAGTTCGCATGCCACAACTAGAAGATGTGTCCTAAGGTAATTGCTTCTTCACTTTAAGCCGTTTGGCTCATGAAAGGTTTCATAGGAGCACTCTACTTCCATCTGAAAGCACTCTACTTTCACTAAAAATCAAGGGAAATATGTATTACAGCTGAAACAAGACGGCAGCGTGTCACCTGATTCCACCTCAGCTGGGAATGTATACCAGGCAATTCAAATTTTTCACCATTTCTGGTCTGCAAAGGGTTTTCTCTGATCACTGGAGTGGCTCAAATTTTAATTCATCACCAAACTTTAAAATCAGGAAATTTCACATGAAAATCCAGATTTCTGGTTTTCCTTTAAAAAAAAAAAAAACCCCAAATCACAAGATCTGGTAACACAACAACTGGCTAAAACTAAGAAACAGTGCCCCTTTTCCAATAGCGCCTGTGGTTGTAGATCACCGAAGTCCCCACCACTCACCACTGTCCTTACACCCTGCTTCCCTAATTTACTGCCAGCTAGCCCTTAATGTAAATGCATCGTTTACCAACCCAGACGCTCATAATATACTGATCTTCGTATGATCAGTCCTAGTCACAGCAGTATTACTCCTATTGTCACTACCCGTCTTAGCAGCTGGAATTACCATACTATTAACTGACCAGAACCTAAACACAATCTTCTTTGATCCTGCAGAAGGGGGAGACCCAATCCTGTATCAACATCAATTTTTCTTTGGTCACCCCGAAGTATATATTCTAATCCTTCCTGGCTTCGGGATAATTTCACACATTGTAACCTACTACTCGGGAAAAAAAGAACTTTTCGGGTATATGGGAATAGTCTGAGCCATAATTTCTATCGGGTTCTTAGGCTTTATCGTATGGGCTCATCATATATTCACAGTTGGTATAGATGTTGACACACGGGCATATTCTACATCAGCCACTATAATCATTGCTATCCCCACAAGAGTAAAAGTAAAGTAAGAGTAGAAGTCTTTAGTTGATTAGCAACACTTCACAGAGGGAATATTAAATGATCCCCCGCTCTAATATGAGCCTTAGGTTTTATTTTCCTCTTCACAGTAGGTGGCCTAACTGGCATCGTTCTAGCTAATTCATCACTAGACATTGTTCTCCATGATATACTACGTAGTCGCCCACTTTCACTACGTACTTTCAATAGGAGCTGTCTTCACCATCACAGGAGGATTTGTCCACTGATTCCCACTATTATCGGGATACACACTTAACTCAACATGAGCAAAAATCCACTTTATAATTATATTCGTAGGTGTAAACCTAACATTCTTCCCATAACATTTCTTAGGCTTATCCGGCATACCTCAACGATATTCCGACTACCCAGACGCCTACACAACATGAAACACTATCTCATCAATAGGCTCTTTCATCTCACTAACAGCAGTTATACTAATAATTTTCATTATCTGAGAAGCGTTTACATCCAAACGAGAAGTATTAACAGTAGACCTCACCTCCACAAACCTTGAGTGACTAAATGGGTGTCCTCCACCATATCACACATTTGAAGAACCAGCATACGTCAACCCAAAATGATCAAGAAAGGAAGGAATCGAACCCTCTCTAATCGGTTTCAAGCCAACACCATAACCACTATGTCTTTCTTTATAAATGAGATATTAGTAAAACCTTACATAACTTTGTCAAAGTTAAGTCACAAGTGAAAATCCTGTATATCTCCATGGCATATCCCTTTCAACTAGGCTTCCAAGATGCAACATCACCCATTATAGAAGAACTCCTACACTTCCATGATCATACATTAATAATTGTTTTCCTAATTAGCTCCCTAGTCCTCTATATCATCACCCTAATACTTACAACCAAACTAACACATACCAGTACAATAGACGCCAAAGAGGTAGAGACTGTTTGAACTATCCTTCCAGCTATCATTTTAATTCTAATTGCCTTACCCTCCCTACAAATCCTCTACATAATAGATGAAAATTAATAACCCTTCTCTCACTGTAAAAACAATAGGCCACCAATGATACTGAAGCTACGAATACACCGACTATGAAGACCTAAATTTCGACTCTTACATAATCCCAACATCAGACCTAAAACCAGGAGAGCTACGACTACTAGAAGTGGACAACCGAATAGTCTTACCCATAGAAATAACAATCCGAATGCTAGTCTCCTCCGAAGACGTATCACACTCATGAGCTGTGCCCTCCCTGGGCCTAAAAACAGATGCAATCCCTGGACGCCTAAACCAAACAACCTTGATATCAACAGGACCAGGCTTATTCTACGGGCAATGTTCAGAAATCTGTGGCTCGAATCATAGTTTTATACCAATCGTTCTCAAACTAGTACCTCTAGAGAACTTTGAAAAATGATCTGCATCCATACTATAATCTCATTAAGAAGCTAAACCAGCGTTAACCTTTTAAGTTAAAGATTGAGAGCTGGGCTTCCCTGGTGGCGCAGTGGTTGAGAGTCCGCCTGCTGATGCAGGGGACACGGGTTCGTGCCCCGGTCTGGGAGGATCCCACATGCCGCGGAGCGGCTGGGCCCGTGAGCCATGGCCGCTGAGCCTGCGCCTCCAGAGCCTGTGCTCTGCAACGGGAGGGGCCACAACAATGAGAGGCCCGCGTACCACAAAAAAAAAAAAAAAAAAAAAAAGTGGCATCTTAGCCAGGAAGCGGGTTGAGTCGCATAGCCCCTTCTGAGATGCAGAATTGCTTTCTGTTCTCAGGCTTCAGTCATGCACTTTGAGCAAGTTCTGCTGCCTCCTGCAGAATGAGGAATGGCCCTCCATAAGGTGCTAGAGTGCAAGCACTCCAGGCAGCGTAGGAGGTGGAGATCCATGGCCAAATTCTCATTTTACTTGCCCATTCCCTCCATTTCCCTATTTAATTAGAGGGTGTTCTAACTCAGACAAATTTAACACATTTTTGTAAACGTTTAGTCCTTATCTACTACATGCAGGTACAAGACACAAAAACACAATCTCTATAGGAAAGGGGTTAGGTCTAATCAGAGAAAACAATTATTCTCAAAAGAGTATATACTGTGTTTTTTTGTTTGCTTGTGTGGTTTTTTAATAAGGGCAATGATACCACTGCAGTTCAGAGGGAGTGGAGTATTCCCAAGAACTGGAATGTTTCGGGAGTGTTTCATAAAGGAGGTAGGAGGGATGTGAGCTGGACTCTGGAGAAAAGAGAAGTGACACTGAAGGCAAAGAGGGGCAAAAGCCAATGGATTAGCTGGTAAAAGGATCTAAGTAAATATCATGTATGGAATGTTTACCAAACCACTTGGTTAGTGAGGTTAGGACAAACCCTGAAGAGGTGGGTTGGGGCCAGCTGGGCAGCAGCACCTTAAATGCCACATTAGGACATCAGATCTCATTCCATAAGTCTGCAGCAGTTTGACTCTGGTGTAGGATCTCCATAGTTGTGAATTATGTCTGTTGCTCATAATAGTTAAAAGTGTTGACATTTACAGGTGAATTATGTAAATACAAAGTTAAAGTAGATGGAAGGGCCACTATTCTAACATCCCTACTCATCTGCACTTAAAAATGCCCAGCACAGAAATACTGCTATTAACTATCTCTGAGTAATAACATACACCGAATCAAGCAAGCATCATCCAATACTCATAAGTATTCATGAGGCAGTAAAAGCATTAAACAAAGGCAATAAAGTTCTTGGATATTCTATAATTTCCTTGGGACAGCAGTTCTAACACAGGGTTAGACTACGAATGGACTTTAATGGACCCCCTGACCTCCCTAAAATTGCATGCAAAAGTTAGTGTAGTGAAGTTGACTGAGTGGATCTGTCTCTTTCTATATCTCTAAGAGGTAAGAAACCCAAAATATGTTAAGAGCCTAACTTAGGGTTGTTTTAATAGAAAACAGCAAGAATCTGGGGACTTCCCTGGCAGTCCAGTAGTTAAGACTTCGCCTCCCAATGCAGGGGGTGTGGGTTCCATCCCAGGTTGGGGAGCTAAGATCCCACATGCCTCACAGCCAAAAAACCAAAACAGAAAACAGAAGCAATATTATAACAAATTCAATAAAGACTTTAAAAATGGTCAACATCAAAAAAAAATCTTTAAAAAAAAAAGGAAAGAAAAAGAAAACAGCGAGAATTTAACCCTGTGGCAGCCTTAACTTTCTAAAGGAAGTGTTAATGGGGGGGGCGGGGGTTGGGGGGAAGTTAGATTGAGGCCATTTTGAGAAGTTCCTAATATTTTCATATCTCCCTCCTTTCTTGTAAAGAACTGCCCAAGGAACTAGTCTCACCAAAATCAAAACTCATTCAACATTCAAAAAATGGCCCAAGGGAGGGTAATGAAATATCTAAAAACTACTCACTCAACTTCTCTCTCTTCTCACAACTAAGGGAAACAGCAAGAGGCCACCAGCTGCCTCTGGTTTCAGCATCTTCTCCAGAAAGATCTCCTGACCAAACAGCTAGTTTCCTTCAAAATAACACATTCTGAGGCGACAAGATACTGACACAAACCCACAAAGTATTGTTGCTTGACTTCTTAGTCGTCTCAGGCAGGCTTGCTGTAAGACCATATACAGGAGCCCATGCTGAGAAGCCAAAGGACCACAGGGAAAGAGAAATGTGTTTTGGAGCACTCAGAACTCCCTAGACCTGCACACCTTGCCCAGCGTCTCTAACCCTCCTACCCTCACAAGAAGCGGGGGCTGGCGGTCTGTTTTCATTGCGCAAGATACATTTACTCTATTAAAAGTTAATTTGGCATTCACGAGACAAAAAGAAGTTTCATTTCTTTTTCTGATTCTAACACACTCCCACATTTCCTTTGTCTCCTGATTACACTTGCCAGATTATCTCTTTAGGAGATAAAATCAATCAACTCACCACCATAATATTCACTTTCTCCAGAGGCAAAAGAGCCTTACCACAACTCCAAAGAGTGGTGGTCCAGAACCAAAGAAATTCTGTCCCAAAATAAAATTCGGGAATCATGAACATTTAACCAGGCCCTTCAGGAAGAAGCAAACGGTAAGCTCCGAGAAGCACAGAAGGCAGGCGCCGGGCAGAGGGCCTTCGCCCTGTCAGAATCACAGGGCCGTCACACTGGCCTGCCTGGCTCGCGGGGGCTTTCGACTGTTTCGTCTAGTCTTAGTCTCAAGCGGTCTGAAAGTCAGTCGCAGGAGCGACATCTAAGAAAATGGTACGTGTGTTTCTCACCTGGGAACAACACAAGACCCCGGAGAGGATCAAGCTGGCACTGGACACGTTTCAGCGCTGCGGGTCAGCGGAGCCCAGGGCTGTAGTCACAGAAACTAGTTTCCCGCTACACCTCGGGAGCGGGGCTCTCGGACCTCCACCCCGAGGCCGTCCTCCGACCTCGGCACCAGCATCTAGGAGGCTCCACGGGCGGCCCGTCAGGACGATCGAGCGACGCTCAGCCGATACCCCTTCCCTGCGCGCGCCAGCTCCAACCCCGCGCCCGCCGCTGCCGCCGCCCGCCCCGCGGCGTCAGGCCGGTCTTTCGGCCCGGTTCCTGTCACTCACCGGCCGGCCCGGGCAGCGGACGCCCACGGCTCCCCACGGGAGCTGGGCCCCCCGGGCCTCCAGGTTTCGACCCGCCCCCTGGCAGGCAGCGCAGGTGGCTGAGCCCCGCAACAGCGGCCCCACACCGGCCGCTCGGACCACCTCCCGGCGCTGCCCACTAGGTACGGATCAACAACAAGATGGCGGCCAGCCGAGGGGGCGGGGACCGGGCGTCATAGTAACCTAGACGGCAAAGAACCCGCCCCCGGCTCAGAATATCCCCAATCAACAACCTCTTTGCCCGACGCCCAGGGGAGTGCCTCCCGCTGACAGGTAGGCCAGCTTGTCAATCAGACCCTGCCTCTCGCGGCCCGTGCCGAACGCCTCAGCACGTGACTGTGACGGCACGGGTTGGCGCATGCGCGCCGTTCCCGGAGTTGCTGGCGGCAGAGCTTTCACGGGGTACTCCGAGTCCGTAGCACCCTTGGCATCTCTTAGTACGCGGCCCCCGTGCGCAGCCGGCAGCGTCTTCTTCCACGCATGCTTAGGGAATGTTTGCTGTGTGCTACATCTCTTTTTTTTTTTATCACTCACCCTAGAAGGCAGGACTTGTCCCTCCCTAGTGAGGAAGCTGAGGCTCAGAGGGGGAGGCCGGGCCAAGGTTACACCACCTCTGGAAATGTAAGCACCGGGTTTCGTGCCTCCTCTTACCAGCTCCAGTGTATAATGCCCTCTTCCCAGCGGCTTCCCTAGGTTTGCCCTTCATCAGCCTTTTGTGCTGCCCCAGCAGTCCCTGGCCTGTTGCCCACGTTTGTCCTTCTGCCTGGAGTTCAGTCCCCAATTCAGTCCCCAGCACAAGCCCTGGCACACAGCGGGCACTCTTTCTTCCTACCCTAGAGCATCTCGTCTTGAGTTCTTATAACATCTTTTGCCCTGGATTGTCATGATCTGCCCCCGAGGCCAACTATGAGTCTTGGGAAGACCGTTACCCCCCATGCAGAGAACCTAGCCCTGGGCTTGGCATCTGATGCAGTCGCACAGCCTGACCCACATCAAGTGCCTGAGCTAGCTAGTTTTGTGACTATTGAGGCTTGGTTGCCCCACCTGCGGAATAAGGATAAAAATCAAGCTCCTCAGAGATGAGGATTTAATAAGCCCTTAGAGCAGGGTAAAGTGCTCAGAAAAAATCCACCTGCAACCCCTTCCAGTAAGGGCCTGCTGTCAAGTTGCTGGCCCTGAGGCCAGCTCTAACACCCTCACTTTATTGGAAGCACCGTGAAGCATATTTTTCCCACAGAAGGCACTCAGCTTCTTCCTCCACCTGGGGTACCATAACTGGCTCAGTAAGGGAGGTTCTCTGGTACCCTAAGATGGTTCAAGTCTACAGACCTGACAGAGGAGAGAAGATTGAGAGAACCTGGGGACACCACAGTAAAGGTAGCCTCCACCAAGACAGCAGGTCCTCTGGGAGAGCTGGCAGTAACCTGAGACCTGATGCCAGGCTGGGTATTGGGAGTGAGCTAGCACTGCACCCAACAGAACCCACCCTCCTGCAGGCTACTGTAGGCCACCGGGCCATGTGCAGCAGCTCAGCTCAGCACAGGGAGGACAGAGGGCCCTGGAACTAGAAGAAACACATCAGGAGGAAATGGGAACACCTCAAAAGGGGGCTACTCTCAATCCCTCCATGGCCACCCATGCCACAGGGTGCTCAAGTCTGCACCAACCCTCACCTCACTGCAAAAGCTCCAGATCCTTTTCAAGAAAACCTCCACATACAGTTGGCAAACTGCCCTGGAAGTTGGTGGGGCTCTCAAACGAACAATGCCCTCCTTTCAGTGGGAAAAGGAAGCTCTTGGGCCCTTCCCATCTGCCAGAGCAGGTGTCCTCTGAGGGGACAGGCCAACTGGAGGCCCCCTCAGTCCCCCTCAGTCACTGGCAAGGATAACAGCTTCTTACATTTCAGAGCATTGTACAATGCCTTCTTAAAAGAAAAATAACCTTACTACTCCCTACAATGTTCCCACAAGACAGGGCATTCTCCAAGTGAGAATAAGGAAGCACAGATCTCAGAGCTTCTCCCACATGTAAGTTACAAGGCTAGGACTCTTCTCTTTGTAATTTTGTTTATTATTGAATCAACTTGAAAACACATAATCATGTGAAGAAGAAATTCCACAAATATGATGCAGCTTCTTGGCCTCAGAGCCAGCGCCGGGCTCCTGTGTGCGTGTTGAACAGGTAATCTCTGCCTGTACCTGAGCTCAGATGGTCAGGGGAGAGGGAGGGTACTGCTGGCTTCAGCAGAACTACCTCCATCCCCTAAGGACAGGGAAAGGTATTCCAGCACCCTTGGTGTGACCCCCTCCCTTCTGCTTGATCCAGCTTGTCCCCTCCCTCCTTTCTCAGCACATCCTTTGAGGTCTGGCTCAAATGCACAGGAACCATGATTCCCCAAAACTGGACACCAGCTCCCCTAAGCCCAGTGCCAGATTACTCTGCTATAATTCACGGTGACAGTGGAGCATTTGGGGGCCTCTTCCCTCACCACCTTTCCCCCTTTCCCCCATGGGCAGGAACCAGATCATGTTCGCCAGGTGTTTGGCAAACACTGGCTGAGGGGTGAGTGGGGGTGAGAAGAGACCCCATTCAGGGAAACAGTAGATAGGATGCCTGGTGGGAGGCAGAGATATTGAAATGGGGTATGGAAAGAAAGTGGGCCCAAGTAGAGAATGGTTTGGAAAGAGGGGGACTCACGGGGGTCCTGTGCTCTGCCATCAAAATACTGCTGAGGTGAAGAATGAGAGGGTGCAATGAGTTGAACCCTGCCCATGGGGAGCAGGTGGAGGCCTGCCCCCAGAAGGGTCAGGAGCCCACCTGCCTCCTCCATGCTGATGGTGCTGGTATGGGCCCTCCCACAGGAACAGCCATCCATGGGAAAAGGGGCAGGCTTGGCAGGGGAGCACTCTGCAGCAGCCTCAGTGCCCACTGCACAGGATGGTAGGTTGACATACCAGGCTCATGACACTGCTGGGTGCCTGGGGTGTCTCCATCCTCGGTGCCTCCATGAACCCCTCAACGGACCCCTCAGTTCCCTGGATACTGGGGCAAAGTAGGAGCTGGAGTACAGGATAGGGCTCTGGGCCCCAGCCTGAGTTTAAGAGATGGACTTCCAGGCATAGAGGTATGCAAAGGAGGCTTACCTGTTCAGCAGTAGAGCCTGGGTTGGTTTGCTTGGTACCTGTAGCACCTGGGCCAACCTAAAATGCCAGGAGGAGGGACCAAGCAGTGAGAGCAGCAGTCCTGCTGGCTCCAGAAACCAGCACCATTCATCTGCCCCTTTTATTGGGGATAGCCTATGTCTGTATGCAGTGCCCACATTTTTACTCCCACCTACCCCTGGGTTCAGTCCTGTACTCACAAGAAACTCAGAGTCTAAGGGGAAGGTCAGGTTTCAAATGGAGGGCAGGGGTCAGAAATAGGGATAAATGCCCAATGCATGACAGACTCAGATTCTAAAGCCCTGGGCCTCATCTCATTCCAGGACTGGGTTCTGCCAGCGATGGAGACAACTTTCTCCCAGTGTATCTCTGCCTCTAACCTGATGACCACTGGAAGGAGAGCAGTCCTGAATATCAGTTTGTCTGCTCATCAACTTGGGCAATCTTGGGTAAAACCAGCTATCACAGATGCGATCCATCTGCGATCCAGCCCCCCAGTGGGCTGGGGGGAGGCAGTCAGTACAGGGATAGCAACCCTACCCCCACAGGAGCCTGCTGAGGAGCCAGCCCAGAGCCAAGAGGAGAAGGGCACTGGTCACTGTCAGCACCACCACAAACCAGGGCTCCGGCTGCCAGAAAGCCTCCGTGTCTGTCACAAGCAGAGGTGTCATCATTGAAGTCACCTGAAATGGGGCCACAGCTTCACCACTGCCCTGCCAAAATGCCCTGATCATCCAGCCTTCAAAGCCCTCCAAGGGCTGGGCCACCCCACACCCCAGATTTCTCTTCTGTATTGCCAGGCTCTTTGCACTCAGCAGTTCCCTCTGAAATGCCTTCCCCCATCGTTCCACCTGGAAAACTAGGTCCCTGCATCCTCCAAGATCCTTTCTTCCCACCCACCAAGGGCCTGAGGACCCCCCTCACTGTGGCTCTGTGGGTGCTGGTGGCCACTGTGCTGGCCCTCCAGGGAACTAGATGCACAATGACAGTGGCTGTGGTGCTGAGGTGGGGGGTGGAGGGACCTGCATCGGCCACACGGATCAATAGCTCATAAGTATGGGGCTGCTCTGGCCAGGAGGGCCCCAACGTGAGGTCGTTGAGCACCAGGACAGCTCCTTGCAGGCTGAATTGGCTCCAACTATTCCCTGAAAACAGAGTGGCAGAAGAAGGGGACCATTGCTGGCCTGCCTCTCCCCCACAGCCCAGTGGTCCCCTTGGCCCTCACCTCCCACAATGCTGTAGGAGAAAGCCAGGCGCTGTGGCTCTTGGGGCACCCGACATGACACCCTGGTCACCTCCATGCTGCGGCCCAGGTGAGTGTGGATGGTGAGCTCCTGAAATGGGGGCTCACACTCGGGGGCATGGTCGTTCACATCCTGCAGGCAGGTAGTCAGATCACCCACTCCCAAACCCCCAGGCCAGCCCCTCAGCCTCCTCCCACCACAGCCAGAACCTTGGTATCAGGCAACAGGTTCCAAAGCTTTCCACAGTGAGACCCCACCCCTCTCCAGCCAACCAGTGGAGGAACCTGAGACAGTGCAAAAGCAGAAGGCCAGAGGGAGATATGAACTCTTTCCAATTCTTTCCAAGGCTTCGGGGCTCAATTACCTCCACCTCAATGGTAATTGTGCAAGAGCCTGAGCGGTGGCAGGTGGGGTCCTGGTCTTGGCTATGGTCAGTCAGCAGGACAGTGAGCCTGTGGAACTTCTGCAGCTCATAGTCCAAAGGCCCCAGGAGGCGAACCTCCCCTAGAAGGGGTGGCCACTGCCTCAGCTTGCAGAGTCAACTCTGGCTTCGCCCCTCCATCCCAGCCCTGGGGTGGGAGTACCGCTGAGACGGTCCACAGCAAAAGTGGCAGACCCGCCAGGGATGGAGTACTCAATGCTGTCGTGCGGGTAATCCATGTCCTTGCCCACCACAGAGCCCAGAAGAGCGTGGGGCCCTGCATCCTCACGAACCCGGAATGTGCGTGGGACACAGGCTGGGGAGAACTCGTTGACAGGTGTCACCATCACCAGTACTGGCACCTCAGCTGGAAGCCGTTTGGCAGTCAGGGAGCTGGCCTGGGTTGCCCAGCCCTGCCCTGGCGGCTTAAGGAGGTAGAGGCTCTGGAAGGAGGAAGGACAATAGCCCTCCCCTGCCAAGGGGTCTCAGCGAGGAGAAATGTGCCTCTGCCAGGGGTCTTTGGTGGAGACAACCCTGCCCTATTGGTTTCTGAGGGAGGAGAGATGACCCCATCCTGAGAATAGGAAGAAGGTATAGAAGAACCCGGTCCTGAATGTCCAGGCCTGGGCATGGTCACTCACTGGTCATCAGAGGCTGACCACCATCAAGCACCAGAATGGAAGCTGCATGATGAAAGCAGGTGCCAGGCGTGTCACAGTCCAGTGTGGCATTCACCTAGTCAGAGGGGCCAGAGGGTGATGCCCAGCCAAGGCCTGGGAGAGCCTTGAGCCACACTGGGCTGCCTCAGGCCAGGTTACTCACAGATAGCCTACCCTGACCCTCCGTTTTCCAGACTGTAAAACAGGTTGGCTCCACCACCATCTCCTTCACCCTCATGGTCTCGGCTCCCGCAGACCATTGGCCCACCCCCCTTCCTGTTCAAGCACTCTGCACATGGGTCTGGGATCGGGGACTGGGCACCTCCAGGACTCTGTCTTGAAGGCAGAGGCTGGCTGCGCCAGCAGGGCTGTGGAACAGTAGCTGGTAGTCCAGGGTGGAGCCAGGAGAGTCCGGGTCAGTGCAAGTGAAGGTATTCAGCACGGTGCCCACAGGCGTGGTCTCGGGGATTTGAGTCCTGGGAGCAGAGGGCAGGGCGGCAGGGCGGGAGCTGGGGCTGGGCGGCGAACCATGGCTCTACCCAATAGCCAAGGTAAGGCTCCCATATACTCACGCCAGCAGCGCTGGTGTGCAGCGCGGGGGCCAGCGGTTGACCGACTGCACGTCCACCTTGAAATCAAGCTCGGCGCTGGCCCACGGCCGGAGACGCTCAAAGGCCTTCACCCGCAGCCTAGTGACCGCGGCGTCTGGGGCTTGCGCCAGCTCCAGGGGCGACGTTGTCCGGACCACTCCGTCGACTGGGCGGGTTGGGAGGGCGGGGGACGCAGAGTTCGGCCCCGCCCCCAGCTCAGTCCAGTTCCCACCCTCCCACGGATCCGCTGGCGGGGGAGGGCGCAGAGACTGACCACTTGGCCGCCTCCTCCAAGGCTCGCTTCTAACTTCGGGCCCCCAAACGCGACCTCGCCCCAGTTTCTGCCTCGGCACCAGGCTCGTTTACTCAAGAGAGCGATGAGGTAGTGCGGGTCGCTTCTAGACCAGCCGCAGAGGCATCCCCTTACCCGCCCTCCGTGCCCCTCACCGCGTCCGATGGAGAAGAGCCGGCAGGGCACTGGGGAGAGGATCTCGTAGCGCACATCGAAGCCCCGGGCCTGGACCTGAACCACCTTACTTCCGGGGACCAGGTTCTCCGGGATGGTGATATTCTGGGCTTGCTGCCTGGGCCAAAATGGGGGCACTGGCTCCTACTTTCTCCCGCCACCCCGGCGGGGTCTACGGACCCCTCCCCTGGGTCTTCCCTGGTACAGGAGCCAGCTGGGGATGCTCAAGCAGCCCCACACCTTAACCCTACTCCTAATTCCCTGGGGCTAGGTCCTGCCTTCCCCACTGTTCCCAGGGTAGGGGAACCTTACAGGAAGGAGACCTGGCTGGAGGGAGCAGGCAAAACTTTCACTGTCAGCATCCCACAGCAGCTTCGGCCTTGTCCAAAGTTCACCAGGATCTGAAGCTGGAAGACCTGCGGTGCACACAAAACAAGAAGGGAACCACGGTGTGTGTCTACCTGTGTATCTGTGCCCAGTCGTCCCTTCAAATAGGCAGCGCCACCTCAGGACCTCCGCAAGGAACCCCGACACTCACTCCTCCCTATGACCTGTCACTCTGCTGACAGATATTCCTTTGTGTCTCACTCTTCTGGGTCATAAGTCCTTCTCTTAGGATGCATACAGCCCCCAAAAGAGTAATATATGAATCATTCACAATGTGAATTATCATCTTAGAGTTGCTAAGAGTCAGTCAATAAGACGTGGAAGTTTTAAAGAAGGAACTTCTCTAACCTCCTCCAGACTACACTAGGCACTGTACCAAGAGCTTTCACTTCCTGTGTGACTGCTCAGAACTTTCTCCTTTCTATAACGGGCACCATGGCTCCTGGAGCCAGGGATCCCTCTTCTTTCTAGAACTCCAGAGCCCAGCACAGAACCACGCCAAGGTGGGAGTACAGCCAGCATGGGGCAGCAGGTACAGGTATGGGCTATGTCTGGAGAAGGCAGCATGATTGAGGAGGTCAGGAACAAACAAACTTCCAGGAGGTAGTGGCTCTGCCCATTTTATGCCCAATTCATGGATATCTCCAGGTCCCAAGTCATGCTCACCTTTTGAGCCTGGCCTTTGAGGCCCTGGGATGGCGCCTGCAGCCAACCCTGCCCATTGATAGAGAAAGGTCCAGGGAAGTATGGCGGATCCTGGGCACTGGTGATGCTTATCTGACAGGACAGAGATGCTGGAGGCCCCTTCCCCAACCCTCAGTGCCCCAAGCATCCCTGTCAAAGTCCCCCAACAACCCAGCAGGTACCTGCCCACTCTCAACTCTCCCATACCCTGCCACTGCCACTCTAGCCTGGGCTCCCCCGGGCCCTGATCCGCAATCCTCTCTGCTTTTAAACTAATTATTTTGTTTTTAATCTAGATTTCTTTTGGAAATCTGATACAGAAATTTCATGATACAGAAATTTCATGAAGAATTCAGAAGAATTTAAAGAAGAACTCAGCCCCTGAGATGTCCCTATGGGAACAGCCATAGTCATTGGGGGTGGGCAGCCCTCAGTGGCTCTCTCCAAAAACATGCATCATTGCTGAGGCTCAGCTGTAGACTAAAGAATCCTTCTGCAGGCTATGCTTGGCCAGGCAGGGGCTGGGCTTGGTCTCCGCATCTCCCCCCGACCCTCCATCCTACCCCCCACCACCACCACTGCCCATGTGCAGGGCTCACCTGGGCTCCCTGGCCTGGGAGCAGCAGAGTGTACAGCCGGGCCCCAGGTTTGACAGTTTCTGGCACCTGAATGATTTCCCCAGCTGGCCAGAGGGGAGGTCATGGGGGGTTCTGTTCAGGTCATGCCTGCCCACACCCCCTGCCTGCTGTCCCTGCCTCACCTGGGCTGGCAAATCGACCAGCACACTGGATATGGCCAGGGTCCCGCTGCACATCCACAGAGAGTGGCCCCTCCATCACATGGTTGCCACATGTGAACCGCAGCTGCAGTTCATAGTGGTTCACTGTCAGGGCATCCAGCCGGGCCGAGCTGCTCAAGGTCATCTGTGGCAGGAGGCAGTGCCATGTGGGGCCTAGGATCTCCATCCCCCTATGCCACCTCTGGCTTTGTGAATTTAGGGTCTGTCCTTGTTCCCCCATGGTCCCCAGTTGTGCCCATGACCCTACCTTGCCCACATAGATCCCCTGCCATCTAGTTAGGCTAGGCGGGTTGAAGAAGGTGGTGGGTGGCTGCACATGGAGCAACTCCAGGGTGGGTGTGTGTGAAGAGCAGTTGAAGGAGAAAGACTGAAGGATGGTGCCAGGTCCCTGGCTCTCAGAGACATTTATGAACCAGGGCAGGGAGTGGAGGTCTGTGAGGAAGAGATGATTCAGGCTGGAGGGCCCCATTCTCATGGAACCATATACACAATCAGAGTCCCTCCTTTCTGCCTTACGGCCTGGCCACATCCTGGAAACAAGCAGCCAAAGTCCTTCTTTGTCCCCCACATCCAACCATGGGTCAGCTCATTTCACAGACTGGGAGTGAGAACTTGGTCGACGAAGCAGCCAAGAGAAGGAATGAGGGTCGGGGATACAGATCTTTGCCATTTCCTGGCTCCCCCCACCCCCTGTCCTCCATGGTAGCTTATCTGAGAGGGATCAAGACTCCACTGTGGAGTCAGGGGGTGAGAACTGGAGTTCCCCCACCCACCAGCTCCTCACCAGAGACAACCAGAGCAAGAAGAAGCACCAGGGTCCTGAGCAGCACCATAGTGGCCTGAAGATACAGACAGCAGAGGAGACTACAGAAAGCCAGAAGTGTTTGTCAGGCCCACCCCGTTGCCAGGTCAGTTGCTCAAACAAAGCTGGGCCTCCAACATTCTAGCCCTGCCCATCCCTAGTGACTGAGCTCTAGACTCTACAGCCATCAAGAGGCCTGGAAAACTGCATTTTTTTCACTGCTCCCAATGAATTCCCCTATTTATTACTAGAATTCAAAGGAGATGTGAGGGGAGAAGGATCAAGCTTCAGATAGGGAAACTGAGGCTCAAGGAAGTCTTGGTCATGCAGTCCTTGGAGACAGAGCAAGCACAGAACCCAGGAAAACAGGGCCCAGGACCTGCTACCCCACAGAGTCTGAACTCCAGCTGCCCACTCCCATTAGAACATTATCTGCCTAGGGACTTCCCTGGTCGTGCAGCAGTTAAGAATCCACCTGACAATGCAGGAGACACGGGTTCAATCCCTGGTCTGGGAAGATCCCACATGCCACGGAGCAACTAAGCCCGTGCACCACAACTACTGAGCCTGCACTCTAGAGCCCATGAGCCACACCTACTGAGCCTGCGTGCCACAACTACTGAAGCCCATGCGCCTAGAGCCCATGCTCCACAACAAGAGAAGCCACCGCAAAGCCTGTGCACTGCAACAAAGAGTAGCCCCCGCTCACCGCAGCAATGAAGACCCAACACAGCCAAACGAAGAAAAGAAAAAAAAAAGAAAGAACATTATCTGCCTATAAAATCTGACCCCAACCATCAACAAAATCTCTCAAAACCTGTGTACATTAAACAAACAAAAGGTATCCTTGGTGACAGAAATAAAAATGGTGGTTACTTTTAGGGGTATCAATTGGAGGGGGCAAAAAGTGGCTTCCTGGAGTGGCTGGTGATATTCTATATCTTGATCTGGGTGACAGTTGCACAGGTGTCTACAGATTTTAACATTTATAGTGCTGTACCTTTGAGAGTTGTCTGTTCATTTTATTTACATTATATGTCAATGTTTAAAAGGTTGTCTACACATGCCCTCTCCAGTTCTTCACCTCTCACTCTCTTTTCTACCCACTATAGTTGAGCTTGTCCCTCTCTCCATAAAAATGCCCTTGTTGGGGTCCTCAGAGACCTTCAAACTGCAGTTTATTCTCTACTCTCACCACTTCGGCAGCATTTGATGCTGGCTCCCCTTGGCTCCTAAGTGCCCACACTCTCTCAGCTTCCTCCCACCTCTCTGGCTGCTCCTGCTCAGTTCCTTTGCTGGTTCTGCTTCATCGTCCCTACCTCCACCCAGTGGAGTGTTCCAGGGCTCAGTCCTGACTGCTGCCATCCTCTGTCCACCTTCCGCCTCACATCCAGGCACATGGCCTTAAACACCATCCACTCAGATTGGTTCAAGATGGCGGAGTTGAAGGACGTGCACTCACTCCCTCTTGTGAGAGCATCAGAATCCCAATTAGCTGCTGAACAGTCATCAACAGGAAGACACTGGAACTCACCAAAAAAGATACCCCACATCCAAAGACAAAGGAGAAGCCACAGTGAGATGGTACGAGGGGCGCAATCACAACAAAATCAAATCCCATAACTTCGGGGTGGGTGACTCACAAATGGAAGAACACTTATACCACAGGAGTCCGCCCACTGGAGTGAAGGTTCTGAGCCCCACGTCCGGCTTCCCGACCTGGGGTTCCGGCAACAGGAGGAGGAATTCCTAGAGAATCAGACTTTGAAGGCTAGAGGGATTTGATTGCAGGACTTCGGCAGGACTGGGGGAAACAGAGACTCCACTCTTGGAGGGCACACACAAAGTAGTATGAGCATCGGGACCCAGGGGAAGGAGCAGTGACCCCATAGGAGACTGAACCAGACCTACCTGCTAGTGTTGGAGGGTCTCCTGCAGAGGCAGGGGGTGGCTGTGGCTCACCATGGGGACAAGGACACTGTCAGAAGAAGTTCTGGGAAGTACTCCTTGGTATAAGCCCTCCCAGAGCCCGACATTAGCCCCACCAAAGAGCCAGGTAGGCTCCAGTGCTGGGTCACCTCAGACCAAACAACCAATAGGGAGGGAACCCAGCCCAACCTATCAGCAGACAAGCAGATTAAAGTTTCACTGAGCTCTACTCAGCAGAGCAACACCCAGCTCTACCCACCACTAGTCCCTCCCATCAGGAAGCTTGCACAAGCCTCTTAGATAGCCTCATCCACCAGAGGGCAGACAGCAGAAGCAAGAAGAGCTACAGTTCTGCATCCTGTGGAAGGAAAACCACATTCACAGAAAAATAGACAAAATGAAAAGGCAGAGGGCTTTGTACCAGATGAAGGAACAAGATAAAACCCCAGAAAAACAACTAAATGAAGTGGAGATAGGCAACCTTCCAGAAAAAGAATTCAGAATAATGATAGTGAAGATGATCCAGGACCTCGGAAAAAGAATGGAGGCAAAGATGGAGAAAATGCAGGAAATGTTTAACAAAGACCTAGAAGAATTAAAGAACAAACACCTAGAAGAATTAAAGAACAAAAACAAACAGAGATGAACAATACAATAACTGAAATGAAAAATACACTAAAAGGAATCAATAGCAGAATAACTGAGGCAGAAGAACGGATAAGTGACCTGGAAGACAGAATGGTGGAATTCACTGCTGCGGAACAGAATAAAGAAAAAAGAATGAGAAGAAATGAAGACAGCCTAAGAGACTTCTGCGACAACATTAAATGCAACAACATTCGCATTATAGGGATCCCAGAAGGAGAAGAGACAGAGAAAGGACCAGAGAAAATATTTGAAGAGATTACAGCCGAAAACTTCCCTAACGTGGGAAAGGAAATAGCAACCCACCTCCAGGAAGCTCAGAGAGTCCCAGGCAGGATAAACCCAAGGAGAAACACGCCGAGACACATAGTAATCAAATTGATAAAAATTAAAGACAAAGAAAAATTATTGAAAGCAGCAAGGGGAAAATGACAATAACATACAAGGGAACTCCCATAAGGTTAACAGCTGATTTCTCAGCAGAAACTCTACAAGCCAGAAGGGAGTGGCATGATATACTTAAAGTGATGAAAGGGAAGAAGCTACAACCAAGATCACTCTGCCCGGCAAGGATCTCATTCAGATTCGATGGAGAAATCAAAAGCTTTACAGACAAGCAAAAACTAAGAGAATTCAGCACCACCAAACCAGCTCTACAACAAATGCTAAAGGAACTTCTCTTAGTGGGAAACACAAGAGAAGAAAAGGATCTACAAAAACAAACCCAAAACAACTAAGAAAATGGTAATAGGAACATACATATCGATAATTACTTTAAACGTGAATGGATTAAATGCTCCAACCAAAAGACACAGGCTTCCTGAATGGATACAAAAACAAGACCCATATATATGCTGTCTGCAAGAGACCCACTTCAGACCTAGGGACAGATACAGACTGAAAGTGAGGGGATGGAAAAAGATATTCCATGCAAATGGAAATCAAAAGAGAGCTGGAGTAGCAGTACTCATATCAGATAAAATAGACTTTAAAATAAAGAATGTTTCGGGCGTTATAATTTCAGTGAAATTATAAAGATCAGAGCAGAAATAAATGAAATAGGAACAAAGAAAACAATAGCAAAGATCAATAAAACTAAAAGCTGGTTGTTTGAGAAGATAAATAAAATTGATAAACCTTTAGCCAGACTCATCAAGAAAAAGAGGGGGAGGACTCAAATCAATAAAATTAAAAATGAAAAAAGAGGGGCTTCCGTGGTGGCACAGTGGTTGAGAGTCCGCCTGCTGATGCAGGGGACATGGGTTCGTGACCCAGTCTGGGAAGATCTCACATGCCGCGGAGCGGCTGGGCCCGTGAGCCATGGCCTCTGAGCCTGCGCATCTGGAGCCTGTGCTCCGCAACGGGAGAGGCCGCAACAGTGAGAGGCCCACGTACCACAAAAAAAAAAAAAAAAAAAAGCAAAAATGAAAAAGGAGAAGTCACAACGGACACTACAGAAATACAAAGCATCCTAAGAGACTACTACAAGCAACTCTATGCCAATAAAATGGACAACCTGGAAGAAATGGACAAATTCTTAGAAAGGTATAACCTTCCAAGACTGAACCAGGAAGAAATAGAAAATATGAACAGACAAATCACAAGTAATGAAATTGAAACTGTGATTAAAAATCTTCCAACAAACAAAAGTCCAGGACCAGATGGCTTCACAGGTGAATTCTATCAAACATTTAAAGAGCCAACACCCATCCTTCTCAAACTCTTACAAAAAATTGCAGAGGAAGGAACACTCCCAAACTCATTCTACAAGGCCACCATCACCCTGATACCCAAACCAGACAAAGATACTACAAAAAAAGAAAATTATAGACCAATATCACTGATGAATATAGATGCAAAAATCCTCAACAAAATACTAGCAAACAGAATCCAACAACACATTAAAAGGATCATACACCATGATCAAGTGGGATTTATCCCAGGGATGCAAGCGTTCTTCAATATATGCAAATCAATCAATGTGATACACCATATTAACAAACTGAAGGAGAAAAACCATATGATCATCTCAATAGATGCAGAAAAACCTTTTGACAAAATTCAACACCCATTTATGATAAAAACTCTCCAGAAAGTGGGCATAGAGGGAACGTACCTCAACATAATAAAGGCCATATACGACAGACCCACAGCAAACATCATTCTCAATGGTGAAAAACTGAAAGCATTTCCTCTAAGATCAGGAACAAGACAAGGATGTCCACTCACACCACTATTATTCAACATAGTTTTGGAAGTCCTAGCCATGGCAATCAGAGAAGAAAAAGAAATAAAAGGAATACAAATTGGAAAAGAAGAAGTAAAACTGTCACTGTTTGCAGATGACATGATACTATACATAGAGAATCCTAAAGATGCCACCAGAAAACTGATCGGTGAATCAGCTGATCAACGAATTTGGTAAAGTTGCAGGATACAAAATTAATGCACAGAGATCTCTTGCATTCCTATACACTAACAATGAAAGATCAGAAAGAGAAATTAAGGAAACAATCCCATTCACCACTGCAACAAAAAGAATAAAATACCTAGGAATAAACCTACCTAAGGAGGTAAAATCCTGTACTCAGAAAACTATAAGACACTGTTGAAAGAAATCAAAGATGACACAAACAGATGGGGAGATATACCATGTTCTTGGATTGGAAGAATCAATGTTGTGAAAATGACTATACTACTCAAAGCAATCTACAGATTCAATGCAATCCCTATCAAATTACCAGTGGCATTTTTTACAGAACTAGAACAAAAAAATCTTAAAATTTGTATGAGACACAAAAGACCCCGAATAGCCAAAGCAGTCTTGAGGGAAAAAAATGGAGCTGGAGGAATCAGACTCCCTGACTTCAGACTACACTACAAACCTACAGTAATCAAGACAATATGGTACTGGCACAAAAACAGAAATATAGATCAATGGAACAGGATAGAAAGCCCAGACATAAACCGATGCACCTATGGTCAACTAATCTATGACAAAGTAGGCAAGGGTATACAATGGAGAAAAGACAATCACTTTAATAAGTGATGCTGGGAAAACTGGACAGCTACATGTAAAAGAATGAAATTAGAACACTCCCTAACACCATACACAAAAATAAACTCAAAATGGATTAGAGACATAAATATAAGACTGGACACTATAAACCTCTTAGAGGAAAACATAGGAAGAACACTCTTTGACATAAATCACAGCAAGATCTTTTTTCATCCACCTCCTAGAGTAATGGAAATACAAACAAAAATAAACAAATGGGACCTAATGAAACTTCAAAGCTTTTGGAAAGCAAAGGAAACCACAAACAAGACGAAAAGACAGCCCTCAGAATGGGAGAAAATACTTGCAAACGAATCAATGGACAAAGGATTAATCTCCAAAATGTATAAACAGCTCATGCAGCTCAATATTAAAAAAACAAACAACCCAATCAAAATATGGGCAGAAGACCTAAATAGACATTTCTCCAAAGAAGACATACAGATGGCCAAGAAGCACATGAAAAGCTGCTCAACATCACTAATTATTAGAGAAATGCAAATCAAAACTACAATGAGGTATCAGCTCACACCAGTTAGAATGGGCATCATCAGAAAATCTACAAACAACAAATGCTGGAGAGGGCGTGGAGAAAAGGGAACCCTCTTGCACTGTTGGTGGGAATGTAAATTGATTCAGCCACTATGGAGAACAGTATGGAGGTTCCTTAAAAAACTAAAAATAGAATTACCATATGACCCAGCAATCCCACTACTGGGCACATACCCTGAGAAAACCATAATTCAAAAAGACACATGCACCCCTATGTTCATTGCAGCACCATTTACAATAGCCAGGTCATGGAAGCAACCTAAATGCCCATCGACAGATGAATGGATAAAGATGACGTGGTACATACATACAATGGAACACTACTCAGCCATAAAAAGAAATGAATTTGGGTCATTTGTAGAGACATGGATGGATCTAGAGACTCTCATACGGAGTGAAGTAAGTCAGAAAGAGAAAAACAAATATCGTATATTAACACATATATGGGGAACCTAGAAAAACGGTACAGATGAACCAGTTTGCGGGGCAGAAATGGAGACACAGAGGTAGAGAACAAACATATGGACACCAAGGGGGGAAAGTGGTGGGGTGGGGGTGGAGGGTAGGAATGAACTGGGAAATTGGAATTGATATATATACACTAATATGTATAAAGTAGATAACTAATAAGAACCTGCTGTATAAAAAAATAAATAAAATTCAAAAATTCAAAAAATATATAAGTGAAAATAAAAATAAAAGCATTGCTTACTTAATGACTTCTCTTTTGGAAAAAAAAAAAAAATACCATCCACTCACTTTGCCTCCCAGATCCAAAG